TCAACATCTTTAAATCTTTAAATAATTTGGTATATATTAGGAATATAGGAAGATGCTGTTATAGCCACTAGTTTTGGCATCTTCACAATAATTTAACATTAACAATCTAAATCACAGGTCTCTTGACATTGTCACTCAGTTATCACGAGAGGTTTACCCCTCGAGACACTTCAGTGGAAAACAACACTAGATGAAACCCCTACAGACAAGAGTCTGTATACAGCCTAAAACAACACCTAAGACCATGAGAAAGCTGAAGAACAGGCCTGGAGGACACACATGCTCCTAGAAGACCTGGAAACACCAAAAAGGGAGTAGACAACACAAAACGTTGTGGGTATCCGCAGCCAGGCCCAACCAATCTAAAAAGATGCCACCAAAAACAGTCCCAGGAGAGTCTGAGGTGGGTGGGAGTGCTGGACGACCCTGTGGAAGAGGAAAAGAGGATTGAGATTTATAAAACCAACAGGAGGCGGCGGTATCTGGCTGCTCAAGATGATCTCATGAAGGGCTTGGCCTGCCTTGACAGCCAGTAAAGTTCTTGTATTAATGAAACTTATACTAGCACTATATAGATTTGAAAACAATTGCCTTCATATTTAATCTGAACTGAAGGCCTTATTTGCAATACTATATCTGTAATACTTACTCACATCTCTAGGGGACTCTCAAGAACAACAAATGAGAAGATTACTAGTTGCACTACTTAGTATTTGAAGTTGGGTCTTGGTTTCTAGCATGATGCAAAAATGCAAACATTAAGGACAATGTACATTTTATTAAAAAAACAACAACAACAAAATGTCACTTAAATTTATTTTATTTGAACAGTTAATAACCATCTTAAAAGGAATTCAAGTTAAAAGAATAATTTTACACAGCACAGCTACAGATTTTAAAACCAGCACATTTGTGTCACACACTTGATCAATGACTGTGCACAGAATTAAAGAGAATTAAAACAAGAACAGGAAATAAATAGGGGGAAATGCCACTGATAAAAACATTTTTAAACTGAAATGCTGTTATTTACATCATAATTTATTTCAAACACTGGTCTACAGATGCCTCAGTCTGCAGTTTCAGGCATGACTAAGTTCAGTTCTAATGTGACCCCACTTCTCATTTTCCTTCACGAGTAACGATGCAGAGAATGACTTACTAAAACCAAGCAGAGCTATGGAAGTGAGCTAGCCTTTACATAAAGAAAATATGGATGACAGCATAAAAGAAGAAAGTGACGTGACATGTGGCCAAGTATGGTGACCCATACTCAGAATTAGTGCTCTGCATTTATCCATCCAAAGTGCACACACACAGCAGTGAACACACACCCGGAGCAGTGGGCAGCCATTTTTTTGCTGCGGTGCCCGGGGAGCAGTTGGGGGTTCGGTGCCTTGCTCAAGGGCACCTCAGTCGTGGTATTGAAGGTGGGAGAGAGCGCTGTACATTCACTCCCCCCACCTACAATCCCAGCCGGTACGAGACTCGAACCCGCAACCTTTTTGGGTTACGAGTCCGACTCTCTAACCATTAGGCCACGACTTCCCCCAGTGTCCTAATGTTCTTCCCATAAGTGTCCTAATGGATAATTACAGTAGTAAAATATGCAGACAATGTTAGTTTAAAATGGAGTTAATGTTTTAATCCACATGCACTCATCACCACACTTGTGCAAAGACACACTAACATACTCCGTTTCTTCAGAAAACACTTTTTAGGCCCTAATATATGAACGTTACCCTTCTACAGCTCAGTGAGATTGAACCTGTTAAATAGAAACATGTGAAAAATATGTACTGAAACTGCACCTTTGTAACCCAAACCTAAAATGCACCATTGTATTATTCTAATTCTCACTTTATGATGGGGCAAAAGTTTGCTTTCTAGTAAATCATGTATTTCTCTATGGCCAACTATGTGTCAAAATCAAATCTAACCTTCAAACCAACGATGGTCCAAGATCAGAGCAGCATATCTGAAACTCGAATCTCACCATTAAATAATCAACCACACGTCTACATACAATTAAAAACCATTGTTGTACATTACCATTGATAACTGATGGAGAAAACGCATACAAATCTCCATATGCTGCTCCTAAACAAACCTTCAAACAGAGCAACACAGTTGCTTACTCTTCCTTCAGCCTAAAACAAACTAAAACTGCGCATCTGACTAGGGATCCCCTTTCCAACTGGCAACAATTTCAGTCAGAGTTTCTTTTTTTCACCCTCTTGGGACTCAATGAATGCAGGCAGTGGTTTATAATTGGTACATATGGGTGTAACATCAGGCACAGATGCCCGTGTGTCTTTCAAAGACCAGGCTGGCAATCAGAAGCCTGCATCTCTACAGCTGAAAAGAAGCGCTTGGTCAGCTTGTGCCCGTCATATTTGAGCTGGGTGGTGTAGAAGGTCCGAGTGTGTTTGGGGTACACTATGGTGGTGCTCTGGTAGCGCTGCACCCGCTGACGGGGCTGGAACTCCAGCTGGGTCTTGTAATGTCTCCAGGTGCTCTGAGGCAGGGCCAACACCGTCTGGCTACACATCTCCAGACCCAAACCCTTGGGCTGCAGGGTCACGTCCTGGATGAAGTGCCGATCTGAATCATAACGCACTGACGACGTGTATCTGTAAGAACACGTGTTACAAGTTAGTGCTACATATGAATTGCACCTGCCCAGAGCAAATCGCCCAAATCATGCGATAATCACAGCAAAAAAAAACAAACAAAAAAAAAACGTTACCTTATTTCTTTCAGTGGCAGAGGATCAAGTTCAATTCCTTCTCCATAGGACAATGCATGCAAATGGCGATTATTATGAACCTGTAATTAAGAATTTTTAAAATATTGTTTTATAGATAATATTTTTTTAAATCAGTATAAATTAAAATATGTATATAAATATAAAAAATTTTTATTGGTTATACATGCATACATACATACATACATCCATACAAACACCACATATAATACATTTACAAAAAAAGCAACTAAATACTAATATTTAAAAAAAATAACCTAATAAAAATGATAAAAGCACAAATATTTTGTTAATATTTTTGCATTAAGGAACCATACCACAGCTGTCCCTCTGTTCTCGTCTTCTGTGATCGGGGTACCAGCCCCGGTGCCCTGCAGTAACCAAACGCTCGGGCTCGGACTCGGAGGCAGACCAGAGTCCGGACTGTCCAGCGGCCGATCAGCTTTCAAATTCATATCCAGCGGATCATCGTCACACACATTCCGCAAGTTCAGTCTTCCCACCATTGCTTTTAAAGTTGCTCAACACTTGCGTGGCAGTTCCACAAGCTCTACAAATAATGCAGTTAAATCGAATTATGCGCAAAATTGTCTTTCTCTGTTGTTTTTGCGGGGCAACCCGAGCTAACAGATCCAGGCGGTTCGCATAAAGTCAACCAGCTGTGTGATGCCGTGAACGATCGTCGATAATCCGTTTCGTGGCGCTGGCTCACCGCTCCCGTTTCCCCAGCGATACTTTGAAACTCAGATCTGAAGAAGCTGCGAATGTGTTTGTTGTAGCCAAGTTCAAATGGCTTTATAAAAATTCAGAGCAAAATGGAAAGTTCCCTGGCTTCGCTCTTGAGCGCATTCAGTCAGGGGGTCATCGCCGGGGAAGGTAACGCAAGTTTCCCAGCATGTCAGCATGCTCAAAGACATTCATTGTTTTACAAGCGCCTGCAAGAAGGGAGACGCCTTTAAAACTGCCTCCCACTGCTGATTGGAGTGCCAATTACAGCGAGTCAGGAGTTCCTCCCTTTAAACACTGGCCAACTTCACATCAAGCTTAGGAGCAAGTCAAGTTAAAAAAAATCACACAAATCAGTAAAGAAAAAGGAAAGAAAAAGAAAACTGTTTCACTGGCATCTATCTATCCATCCATCCAGTCATCCATCAGTTTGTCTGTCTATTCATATATCAATCATACATAAAATGATGAAGACCACAGTTTTGTCAAAGCCAATAGTCAACCTTTTTTATTGACAATAATTAATATCTGCAGTTGATATTAAAAAGATGTCCAATTCACAGAAGGCAGGAATGTTTTCGTTATAAGCAATCAACAGTATAAATCACAGCAGAAATCAATGCGAATAATATTGCAGTCAAACATCACAGTAGCCCATCCGGCACATAAATCATACATTCATTGCAAACATTTTAGCTTTGATATGCACTGCTGTGGAGACTTTTAACAAGTACAAAGCCATGTGGAGAGAATAAACAATTACGAAGGAGAGGGTGATGATGGGATAAATGATTAAGATTACAGTAAACCGATTCCAGAGTTCAAATAATGAGTTATTAAAAGGACTATAAAATAAGCTATTTCAAACAATAGACAAAAACAAATACTTTCTTTACACAAGTGAACAGCAGATGACGCAAAGTAAAAGAATGTGTGCACACTAATATATCTGCATTCCAATAATCTCCCATGAACTACAGTTATTGTTTGTGGAGAAAATGTGTCTACCATGGGAAAGCGCGGGTGGTAAATATTTCTTGCTTACAGCTCCTGTAGGGATAAAACATCTACAACATGTTTCTTTTTTCACCCCAACCTGGGAAAGTATTTCAAAAACCCAAAACAACTGGTTTGTCATTTCAGCAGGAGACAGGAAATCCCAAGCTCCTCTGTTGTGGAGCACCTGAGACCTGAAATCTCACTCTCCTACTCCACAGGCACCTTTACCCAGAGCAACAGCCAAGTTCCACACAGCCGTTTGCTGTTATAGTGAGGGGACAATTATAAAAACCCTGGATTTAAATCATTTTGATGTTGAAATCCCAGACCAGAAGACTTTGTGCCAGAATAGCAACAGGTTACTTTTCTGAGCCACACTGCCCTCTGTTTTGCTTTAAGTACAAGCATATTTCAGAGAACTGTGCAAAGTAAAATGACACTGGGGGTATTAGTGTTGTAAAGTGGAGGGAAAAAAAGTGTGTGTGTGGGGGGAGGGGGGGGGGGGGGGGGGGGGGGGGGGGCAAAATGACTCATACATGCCAGTAATGTGTTTAAGTTCAGGAAAGGACTTGAATCATAAAGCTCATAGTAATGCAAGTCATGAAAGCCTCAAAGTTAAACCATGATCTGTAAGAGAACATAAATACAGAAGACATAGCAGTACTATTTATACACCATTCTCAGTATGATAAAACTGGAGTGGAGAGATGTTGCCAGGCCGTGCTGAATATCTAGACAGAGCACTTACATTATTAGATTGATGGGTATAAAGTTCCTTCTGATTTACTGAATCCTCTTTTTGATGAGCTTTTCCAGTTTGCGGATACGGGAAGATTCTTGTTCAGGGGTGGGGGCACTGAAGGACAATGATGGGCCACCGTCTGGTCCTGATGGCGGATTAGGCAACCTCTGCCTGAAAAGCTCCAGCATGGTGCTCTGCTCACTCCGTTTTAGGCCCTATAGATTTAAGAGGGAAAGAGGTAGACACTTTTGACCAATGAATTTCAAAGAGCTTTTCAATAATTTATGTGCATAGCCGACTGATGGTGGAGTGATGTACATTTAGTAGTTGTGAAATCCATCGGTAACCAGCAGGGTTGGGAGGGTTACTTTTAAAATGTATTCTGTTACAGTTACAAATTACTTCATTAAAAAAAGTATTCAGTAACGTAATCCAAGTACCACAATATAAAGGTAATGTAATCTGATTACTTCAAGTTACATATGTAAATATGTAAAAGCAATATCTAAGTACTTTTATTTAACTATGACGTTAAAATTAAAACGAATAAAAACTATAGTAAAAACTATTTGAAATGTAAAAATCGTGTCTTGTTTCACCATCTAGATATTGCAGGCCGTATATTCATATAAAAGGCTATGCAGACATCTAGTGGCTATACAGTTTTATTTATTTATTTTTTTCTTTAACATGTACAAGTAAAAATAAATATAGTTTATACACAACATTAAAAAATGTACACCATATACATATTAATCTATTTTAAAATAAGCCTACATGTTGAAATGCTATGATCTTTCTTTATTTCATTGACTGATCCGGGGTGTGGGGACACTCATGTTAATTTCTACATTTTCAGGCTAATTTTCGGCTAGAAAACTTACAACTGCAGTCATGCACACCATGTAATTTTAAATCCCTAACAAACACTACAGTAAATTTTAGCTAACATGATGATTTCCATGCTTGTGGGACTCGTACCTGCAAATGTTCAAGTTGGTTGAGTAGTCTTTGTTAAAGCAAGAGTCTTCATGCATAGCTTACGCTGTGTCAACAGAACCAGGAACTATGCAGCGCTAAATATATAGCGTTATGTCAAAATACTCATTTAATTTTAAATCAAACAAATGTAATCCTGATAGTATTCCCACTTTTTACAAAATATAACTGTAATCTGAATACTTTGTTTTTTGATGTAACTGTAACGAATTACAGTTACTAGATTTTCATATCCTGATTACGTAATGCTGTTACATGTATTCCGTTACTCCCCAACCCTGGTAACCAGTACCGTTGTTATGTACCACAACAATCTTATTGCAAAGGTTTGGGAGAGCTCTTTGCCTCTACCCATCATGAGATGTTTGTATACTTGCATTCAGAGGTGGGTAAGCCTTTTTCTAACCTATCAACATGCACTAACCCAGCTGATTCTTATTTGCACTGGTGAGAGGAAGAGCTACTTAGTGAAATCAGCTGCTGTCTTGCCTTGCCTTGTCTTTCCATACTACTTTTGTTTAGCGTGTTCAATACTTTTTTTCCTGTCATTCCACTTTATTAAACATAACTTTTTTATGGATTGTAATATTATGATTTCTTTTTCTGCATAGATTTCTTGTGTTAATAGCAACATCTGGTCAAAATTTCATGGGAATTGCTGCATTGGAACTGTGTTTAATAAAAAAAATGTTTGACATGTTGAATACTTATTTCCCCCAATGTATATATACATATTACATGATTTTATCCATTTTAAAATTCCTTTTATGTGGAATCCCTGATTTACTGGTGGTGGGATCTCGTGAAATATGAGGATGATGCAAACCCCTGATGCAAATAAAACAGACTCACCTTCATATCTAGAATCTTTTGGAACGTCTCAGGATTGCTGTCAGCAAGGAGCTTGATGTAGTTGTCCACAAAGACCACGGACGGCTCGTGAGGGGCCATGACCACCTGAGAGGGGAGGAGAAACAAGTCAGTTAAACTCCAGCTGGGTTCTCCAAATTCTCAAAAATAAAACATTACAACATGAGACCCGCCACTCTGGGAACAGGAGACAAAAAATACAGTGATCTGACAGATAAAACACCAAACAAAGACAAAAACTTGAAGTGTCTATTTAAGGTGCTCTTTTAACAGCATAATTACTCTATGCTTGAATGAAGCTGAATTAGCCTCATCGGTAATTTTTTGTGGGGTATAATGAGAGTCTCAATTGAGCAGTAAAAAGAGGATAAATGGGGTACAGGCCTGCATTGTGAATCGGTTTCTTTTCCCTCCAAGGTTGGGAGGGGAAAAAATGTTTAACTGTGCATCTTGCAACTAAGAGGATTTGTAAGAGGGCAGAAGAACACATGGCTGGCAGATACAACTGGGGGGGGACAGTTTAATTAGCATCCTGTGCAACATTCCCCTTTATACAATATCCATTTTTATTTATTTTCTTTTTACTCTCAGTACCTGAAGGCATAAGCCAGGATATGCGGATAAGGGTCAAAGCAAAGTGGGACACGGAACACTTCAGACGGTCTTGAATTCTAAACGTTCCTTCCTTACCACGGAGTGATTTACTTAGCGACCGTCCTGGAGACAGGCCAAGGAAAAGCCTTGAGGAGGCTTGTTGTAGTTACCTCGTAAAAGAGAAAGAATAGAGAAAACGAGAGGAGGGGAGAAAGTCTGCCTTTCCGTTCATTTCCAAAAGAGCCACAATGGGGGGGTAGGAATGAGACAGGCATAAATGAAAAAAAAAAACTAGAAGACTATGGAAAACAGCCACGTCTCACAGGCAGCAGCAGCCTCCTTCAGCTTCACATCTCTCTGAGGTTTGGGCCCAAGGATGGGCAGGAAACCGTTCCCAGCCAAGGAAAGAGAGAAAAAGTGAAGACATCTTTAACAGATTACTCTCCACGTTTACCCTGTAATGAGCATCATGTGGAAAGCCAAGCCACCACCAGCAATGAGGTCCCATTTCACCCATAAACCACTTTAACGGGTGTCGCACTTCACTGATGTAATTCATCAACGATTGATGACGACAGCGAGCTTGAGGTGGCAAATGATTGTGCTATTGTTCCACTAAGTAGAACACAAAAAATAACCCATGCTTTGTTTGGCCACATGGCAGCAGAAACCTTGATGTTAAGGTTTCCTGGACCGCTCTTCCAGGAACCTCAGAACAAAATGCTGATAAAGATGGTAATTACCTAAGAGGCACCTGGGGCCCAACAAAGCCAATCATTAAATGCCAACCAGATTTTAAAGACCCACCGTATGCAAGGGTTTCTTAAGCAGACCTACAAGTGTCTATGAATGGCCACTGGTCATGTGTTTATCATGTTTGTCTTGTATTGTGAAATCTGGCTGCTCATGTTGTGGTAAGATCAGGTTGTCAGTACAAAGATAACTCAGCTATTAAAGGGATAGTTCACACAAAAATCAATTACTGTTGTCGTTTCAAACCCAAAAGACTTTCGTTCATATTTGAAACACAAATGAATATATTTTTAGGGAAACCTGAGAGATTTCCTGTTACACCAATGAAAGCCTATTCCAGCAAACCTTCATGATTCAAAAAAATTCATAAAACACTATAAAAGAAATTCTAATGAATAGGCTTTTATTCGCATATAAATAATGATCAACACACATAGAGCTCATAAAATATGGATCAAAAAAATGTGCTTGTGCAATACAAGTATCAAGTATGTTTTGAGCTTCTGTGAGAATCAATGTTCTTGTTCTTGAGCATCAAGTAAAAATGGTTCAGCTTTATTTTTTATTTATTGCATTAGAAATATCTTCATTTGTGTTTTGAAAATGAATGAAAGTCTTTTGGGTTTGGATCAACATGCGGGTGAATAATTGAAGATAGAATCAAAAAAAATTTGGGGTGAACTATCCCTTTAAGTTGGTTGATTAGTTTTTTTAAGCCATGCCAGCTTCCTTGGCTTTTTTCATGGTGAGTAACAAGTTGAAATACTATAAAAGAACAATTTAAAAACCTATATAAAGTTCGCTTTTGCTAAAAACTCAAAAAAGCATTTAGGGTTGACTTTCTTCAAAACGTGTTTATGAGTAATATAATTTCCTAAGAGTACTTAAACCAGCATAATTTTAATAAAATTTGTTTAAGAGATACTGGACTATGGCACTGAGAGCAAGATATATTCCTGTAAGTCTTTATCAAAGTGGCCCATGTTTTCTTATAATGCTTTTCGACTTTTAAATATTATCTTTGCATGATCTTGCACAATTAGAGCTGAACCCAGTATGAGCATTAGGTGGATTAAAGCTGATAAAAGACCAGGAGCAGGAAAGCCCCGGAGAGCCTAATATGCCTAGGGCTGGAGACAGGGGTCAGGGAGAAGAAGGTGGGTCTGGAGATCAGGGGGAAGAAGATCCATTGAGGCACAAGCCATCCATTCCTCCAGTTGTATTTGATACAACATAGAGCTCAGACGTCAATCCAGAACATCTGTCTACACATAACAGTAAAAGGGACATATCATGGAAAACATGACTTTCCTTGTGCTTCTGAATTATGTAGACATACTCTAATGTTCGAACTTATAAAGGTGCATAATTGGGTTAGAAATCATCATGCAACCTAAGTTTTAAAAAATGGCAATATTCATCACGGCACTTTTTGAGTGAAAATGATTTGATCTTAAAAGGGATTTAAGTCTTGTTCACACCAAAAATTGTTCAATGCAAAAATCTGGTGCGATAAACATTTTAAAATGGACGTTCATGCATCTTTTGAGACAGACATGAACATTTGCATACCATCAATGCAACAGACTTATGAAGAGGTGTTCTCACCTCTTTTCCATCACTTTGAGAAGAAAAATGGACAATCAATAGGTCATGTGCCTGGAGACGCTGCTGTGACATAAAACTACGACTTGGTGATGCTCACGAATAGACTGTTTCACTAACTGACAGTGAATTGTAGAGGAAGAATCTGGAAGCATCTTTCTTGTCTCTGTCTGTACTGTTGTATTTAGTGGTGTTTGGTAAACACCAATGGAAATACTAACATTTGAACAGCTGCTTGAAAAGTTGTAAATGCTGTTTGACTTCCCTGCTTCTCTGTGACAAGGTGTCAAAAACAGAAAGTTGTGCAGCGCTCGGTGTACCAGAGTAACCAGGGATTTTCTGCTTTAGCGCCACCTACTGTCAGAGAGTGAAATTTTCATTTAGGCCATCTGCCGTTTTTTTACACATTAGTCTGAAAAGACAAATCACTTATGAAAAACATTTTGGTCTGAATGTGGCTGTCATTAAATCAAAATGGGGACAACCAGTCACTTAGTTCTGATCAAATCAACATTTCTCTCTTAATAATATTAACTTTTTAATATAATTTCAATTGAGAAAAAAACTTCAATTAGAAATATGTCATTAAAAGTGGACAAGTTTGAACCCCATTGTATGTCACAAGTCTATATGTAAATATAAGTAGAGATCTATGAGTGAGGATTATTAAACTGTGGACTGCTAAGCCTGCAGGCAGGAAAGCTAAGGCATGTGAGCACTTCCTGTCTCTCAGAGAGAGCTCATTAAACCAGACGTGCACAGCTTAGTAAATAACTGCGCTGCACCACGCAGAGCTTTATGAGCAGCTGATCATTAAAGACTTTCCTGTATTGAGCTTCTCATCAGGGAGGCCTGTTTAAAACAGAATCGGGTGAGCGAATTCTCAAATGTTTAATGGCCGTGAATGCACGTAAGGTTCCCACCTTGAGGATCATCTCCGCTCGAGTCATTCCTTTAACCACTATTTTGGTGTAGCTGGCCGGGGCTTTACGGACCACTTGAGAGCCAATGGAAGGGAGGTCTAGAAGAACGGTCTTGAGGGAATGTGTGTCCAAGAGTAACTGTTCAGAAGAATGAAGATACGTACATATGTTCTGAAGGTCCATGAAACCCAAGCATCCCAGTGTCTAAATCTCTACCTACCTGCTCTGCTCCAACCATGCTGATTGGCTTACACCTGAACAGGTGGTTGATGAACTTTGGAATGAAGGAGCTGAAAGTAATGGATGAAAGTAAAACAGTCAGTAGGAGTTGAGCAAACGCTGTGTTATGAAAGAGCCTTTGTTGCACTGATTAGTGAGTAGCTCCGGTACTGACTTGGTGAACTTAATGCAGAACTGGGTGAAGTATTTCCGGGTGGAGGCCAATTTGTCTCTAATGATGGGCACATTTTGTTTGATGTGCATGATTACAGAGGTCACATACGGGCTTTGGTCTCCCACATGTTCCACACTCTGCCACGGCATCTGTACAAACATACAGAAAGTCAACTTCAAGGCTAGTATAAATATTCTAAAGACACTCTGGACATTCTTAATGTTGACAAAAACTAAAACTTTTACAAACTGAAATAAAGCTGAAATAAAATAAAATAAATATTAGATGGAAAAACTCAATGAAAACACTGAAAACTAGAAATGTTCCCTTGGCAACTAAATGAAGTAAAATAAGTTTACGTTGAAGCGCTAAAATTACTAAACTAAAACAAAAATTAAGGCTAAACAGAAACATTAAAAAACTAATAAAAATGAGAAAAGCACATAGCAAAAGTGCTGAAACTTAAGCTGAAATTAAAATAAAAGCTGAAAATATTAAAATAAATGCAAAGAATAAAAGTTTTATTCAATAAAAATAATTTTTTTATTGATATTCAAATTCTGCCTGATACCAATAAGCCAAATTATGGCCAATAACCGATAAACAGCTGATATTAAAATTATTTGTACAATTTTGTCTAATATTTAAAAATAAACATTTAGGCATCACAACATTCAACAGTCAACATTCAAAAAAACATTTTGAGATTTGCTAAAGATTACATTCAACAGCGTTGAATGTAAGGGGTGGTTCACCCAAAAATGAAAACTACCCCATAAAAAATATAAATTTTTTATTACTCACCCTCAAGCCAACCTAGGTGAATATGACTTTCTTCTTTCAGACGAATACAATCGGAGTTATATAAAAAAAATGTCCTGGCTCTTCCCAAGCACCCATATGGCAGTATATGGGTGTTGAGATTTTGAAGTCCAATAAAGTACATCCATCATAAAAAGTACTCCACACGGCTCTGGGGGATTAATAAAGGCCTTCTGAAGTGAATCTGTGCTTTTGTGCAAGAAAAATAGGTTACACTTTAAAATAGGGAACACATATTTACTATTAATTAAGAGTTTTTCCTCAATAAACTGCTAATTTGCTGCTTATTAATAGTTAGTAAGGTAGTTGTTAAGGTATGGTGTAGGATTAAGGATCTAAAATATGGTCATGCAGAATAAAGCATTAATATGTGCTTTATAAGTACTAATAAACAGCCAATACACTAGTAATATGTATGCTAACAAGCAGCTAGTTAATAGTGAGAATTGGTCCTTAAAATAAAAGTGTTACCATGATCTCTAGCCTCCGCTAACTGTCATATGTGCTTTCACAAGAGAGTGGCGTTCCAGCAGATGACGTAGGACGTAGCATAAGCTCCGATGAGAATATACTAGTCTCACTAGAACCAAGTTGTGTTTACAGCAAAGGACAGCTCTCCTCTGACATTTTTCTTTACAAATCCTCGTTTTGTACTTCTAATTCGTGACCGGTGTTTTGTTTTGCTCTCTCCAGTCCGTTTCCGCATTCGTCACTTCTCACCGGAGCTTACACTACACCTGCGTCATCCGCTGAAACGCCACTCTCTCATGAACACGCGTACAACAGCTAGAGATTATGGTTTATAAAGTTTTAAATATGGATATTTTTCTTACACAAATGCATCGATTCACTTCAGAAGGCCTTTATTAATCCCGCAGAGCCGTGTGGAGTACTTTTTATGATGGATGGATGCACATTATTGGACTTCAAAATCTCAACACCTATTCACTGCCATTATAAAGCTTGGAAGAGCCAGGACATTTTTTTATATAACTCCGATTGTATTTGTCTGAAAGAAGAAAGTCATATACACCTGTGATGGCTTGAGAGTGAGTAATTCATGGGGTAATTTTCATTTTTTGGTGAACTATCCCTTTAAATTATTAGTGTTTTTATAGATTAACTTTAAGTGAGTGTTATATAACAGCAAAGGTAATTTAAATCAAAAAACAAATCTGGGAAATTAGAATCTCAATTAAATATCCAATCCAACCTCAGTAGGTATGATAAATTACACTATAAAAACTTAAACTTTAAACTTGTCTGATAACTGCTATGGTACCGATATGGTACCTTGCTCATAGCTGTGAGGGCTGGATCACATGCAGCATCTAGGTCCTGAACCAAGAGCTGGATACTGTTTGAGATAACCCTGCCAAACAGAGAGATTCATGGGAAAATTACTTAACAGCTAGTAATTAATTTCCTTGGGCAAATATGTTTTTACTTGGCATTGAGGATCAAGTTAGTGTGACTGGTATTTACGTGCTAAAGGTGTCCATCTCCCCAGTTAAGTTGATTCTCTCCATTAGGGACTTGTCCACCTTCTCCTTGAGCTTCTCCTCCAACTGTGGACATGATATAGGACATCTGAATCATTAAAAAAAAAATTTAAAAACCTATTTATTTGTAACATGTGAATGAAGAATGTGTGATGGGTCACCTGCTGTGTGGTAGCCAGGCAGTATTCAGCCGTGCTTAAGATGCTGCAAATAAGACACAACTCTTCCATTGTGAACTTGGCCACTTCTGATCCCTCTTTTTCCTTCAGCAAGCTGCTGATGGTCAGACCACCACTATTGGTGCTGGTCCTGCATGCAAACATGCACAAACATGGTTACCAAAGCACCCTAACTCAACCCTCCGGCCCTCCCGCTGAAAGAAACACAAGAAAGACTGCATGGAAACCACAAGACAGCTTCTCCAAAACAAAGATCTTTTTTGAAACTTCCAAAGACAATAAGGGGTAAAACCACACAAGGCGACGGGTGGGGATTTTTTTTGCTTTGAAGAGCAGCACAGAGAAACCCCACAAATGAGACCACACAGAGACGACCACTCGTTCTCCTACCCAGCATCACCACAGCATAACACCCTAAATGAAATCCCCAGTGACTAGGAGGATCAAATTTTAACCATAAAAAGGGAGAAAGACGGGGAAAAAAGCGTCATGTGAAGACCAGTCAGATGGCTCGACTCACTTTGGTAGGTTCCCAGAGAGGATCTTCCAGGCATATTCGCGTAGATATTTCTGGAAGATGGTGGTCAAAGCAATCATGGGTTCTCCGGTGCTCAGCTGCGAGCACTGGACCATACACTTCTTGTAGTACACGAAGAGATCTGCACAGCTGGGCAGCACAGCACCTCCCTCATCTGTACCTGATTTAGGGGGACCCTGTGCCCGGAAATCAGCAACAAAACGGTCGATCAGCTCGCCAAGATTTCTAAGACAGAAAACAAAATGATTAATGCCAGTAGGACTAGACGGAATTTGCAGACTTTAGCTGCATTTGCTGCACATATTCTGAGGTAAAATCTGCATAATTCTGTGGAATGGATTTAAAGATAGCAAAATGTATGTTAAACAGAACAGAATAAAAGATATGAGATTTTTATTGGTAATAAAAAAAAACTACAAAATAAAAAAATATATATATGTTTGCAAGGTTTTTGGGGGATAAATGCGTTTTTGCTGGAAAAACTAATAAATAAAATATTTTCAAAAAATACAATTAAATAAAAAAAAAAACTTGGTAACAAAGCATTGTCAAATTTACAAACTATTTAAAAAACAAAGCTAACACCACATATCTAACCATCACTGAAATCACAATGTGTTAAACTTGCTTTGAACAGCAATGTATTGTAAGGTCAGTAAATAGGCCATCTCTCTCAGCACTGAGTAATCAGTTAGATGCTAACCCCAAGAGAAGAATGTGGACACTCTCATGCCAGACAGGTCAGTGTGAACTGGTATAATGCAAGCCATTGTTAACAGAAAGTTCATTCTGCTTTAGGCAGTGCCAGCGGAGTGTTACATGGGCCAGAGAAGGGCCTTTTACAAAAAGTTCTTTTCTTGGGAGCCTCGTGGGATTAGAGAGGGTAAGCAGGAAAAAGAGAGGTAAAGAACGAGAAAAGACAAGTGAAGAAATAAATCAGCTGCTGTTTTTAGGCTGTCTGCAGCATGTGTGGTGAACAGCTAATGGGAACCATTTTTACCTCAGTGGTGAGGCGGAGAGAGTCAATCAAGGGAACTACTAAAAAGGGGGGGGGGATATTTTGTTAGAACAAATATTCCCGTACAAGAAAGGGAAGATCACAAGTGCATCTGAAATGGAGGTTGGTAAGGAGGGCCCTTAAATGACCCTGAAATGAATGGACTAATACTTGTGTGACTCATCTGATATGATTGTGCACAATGTTCAAGCACATTTCACTCACTTATCCTGCGACTCGATGTAAACGTAGAGATGAGGCTCAAAGCACTTGGACACAATGCCATGGAAGGGGTTGTCTGGAGCCTTAGGCTTCTTTGGCTGTGAACAGCAAAAAAGTACTTAATCAAGAATTTCTTAAAAAGTGTGTTATTTTAGTATTGATTTACTATTTTACTGTTTTTGTTGTGTTTTTTAAAGATTTTTAAAATATTTTCTGTTCTCACTTTAATTTTTGTTATTTTTATTACATTTTGTTTTGTTTTTTAATATGTATATATAGTTTTGATTCATTTACATTTATTAGTTTTAGTTATTTTAGTACATCAAGTTAAACAATAAAAATGAGAAATGTTGTCTTGGCAACTAGATAAAATAAAATAAGTTTGTAATAAAATAAGTTTGTTAAAGTAGGATGAAAACAACAAAAAGTGTGTTTAGTTTTTATTTAATTGTATTTATTAGTTTTAGTTCATTCAGTTTGATATTAGTTCTATTTGAGCTGTGTGCTGCACTGGCACCAGCGTGATGGGGAAAGTGGGAGGAAATCGTATAGCGAAAACATCACAGTGATAACAGTGAACTTCTAAGGAATCCAAATCACCAGAAATGTTCTTACAACTCCTGATACTGAGATCATTGCCAATTTGAAGATAAAAGGAAATAAGTGTGCAATAAATAAAGGATCGGAGCCAAAGTCAAGCTGTTATATTAAAGTACACTTTAAGAGTTTGATAAATAGACGGCAAATAAAGACTTCTAAACACACGGTGCCTTGAATGTTTTCATAACACGTCAATTCCAGACAATATGTGCCTGATTCAAGCCATAGTTCAGATGCAAGTCAAATCAAACTACATTAGAAAGAAATGTAAATTGCATGTTGGAATGGCACCAAATGCGGTATCAGTTTCTATCAGAAGATGGGTGGAGTGGACTGCATGTGGTAAAAATGTGGTCGTTGCTGCATAATAGAATGCAAATAAAGTTAAGCAGCCTCACTCTATCCAAATCTTCATCCTTTTCTGATACGTTGTCCTCTCCTGACTCGTCTTCCAAAAAGGGGTTTGTTGGTTCTAGAGGAGTCTCAGGTTTTTTCTGCTGAGAGAGCAAAGGAGAAGAAACATTACAAAACCGCCAGATTAGCAGCATGTTCACGCCCCAGTAAAACCTTTTTGTACTTGGCAGCAAACAGGCATGGCATCCAAAACATAGTGCAAGCGTGGTCTCACCCCAGGCCCGTTGTTTAAGGTGCAGCCCGAGAAGCGTTTAGCCAGCAGTCCTTCGAAATTGGTGGTCCTCTGAATAGCAAAGAGCAAAAGCTTGACCTCGATCTCCCTGGCACGGGTTCGCATCAGCTTGGCCAGCTCGGTTCTGATGAGAAAATGAAAAACAGACATAGACACAAGTTTGTCAGTAAAAGCTAACTTGCCAAGTAGGACTAAGGCTTCAGGTCACTGCTTTTATAGGCTAGTTTGTGCAGAAGCCTGGTTTGGCTGTTGAAGGAAACCACAGTGGATCAGTGTTGTAATCAAAAGAAAAGATCCAGCTACTGTCAGCTTGAAAAATAATCGTTTTGTGAAGAAAATAAGCCTACATAGGAAGAAGATGGTGGTGTGGTGTATCCATTCTTACATAAAGCTTGGTCAAAAAAAGAGAAATATATTAGATTGTATTACAGTGGACCTCAAACGTTCTTTCCAGACACTGAGGATTTTGTAATGACTCTCGAGAGGAATTTGACTATAGACTACACACACACACAGCCTACTTTAGACTGTCAATACCAGTACTGAAATCCCAGACATGTAACCAGTTCCTTTCCATCTAATCATTCATGTCATACTGCGCACAATTATGTCTTTTGCTAAATCATGCCATAGTTGAGTGCTGTCTAATGTCTAGTCTTCCAAGCTAACCTCTAAATGCACATGTAAACCCCAGGTGTATTTTCTCAATAGGGTTATGGAGATGATGTGGATTTATGCTGCACTCACATCAGAATTACGGTAATTACAACTCTACTCAGAACTGCTCATGTCTCCAGACTCAAAAATTATTTGTTTCTATGGCAACACTAATTACGCCACATTGTATCCATGTCTGGCATTATTATTGAAGACAGTAAAATATACATAATCACTAGAAATGCTACACCTCTTTATTCTCTTTTCAATCTTTGAAAAACAGTAAAATTACACAAAATAGTTAACAAAAAAATGTAGTTAGCAACATACACTACGGTTCAAAAGTTTGGGGTCAGTACAATTTTTAAATGTTTATGAAGACGTCTCTTATTCTCTGGAAGGATGCATTTATTTCATCAAAAACACAGTAAAGCAATAATATTGTATTACTGAAATATTACAATTATTATAGTTTTAATTACTTTCAGACAAAAATAAAAATCTTACTGCACTCAAACTTGAATGGAAATGTAACAATCTTTAGTTATAAAGATATTTATAACTATACAAAGGATATTTGTATTCAACATCACATAACAAACAAGTTTGAGAAATTGAAGCTTTAATCGAACGTTTACATGTAATTAGAAGATCGACTATATTTTTTTCCATTCAAGTTGTAAATTTCTTGCATTAAAAATATAAATTATTCCAAAAACAATTAAAAATAACAAATAAAAGCAGCATTTCTATCCCATGTGCAATTGCAAATGACTTTTTTGTGAATATGTGAATGTCAAAAAATAAATCATCCACCTCAGGCGAGCAATGTTTTAATGGCATTATGGAAATTTTATTTACACCCAACATTCTATATCCCGATATTTGTATAAAAATGTGGATGGAAATCTGACTAATGACATGGATGGTTTTCACAAGTCAAGAATTGATAAAGGACCAATATTATGTGAATGCAGCATTAGTGTGAGGTGTTCGACCATTACCTGGTGATATGACAGAACTCTACAGCGATGCGTTCGGTCATGCACCACTCCTCAGGAAACATTCGCCCATACTTTTCTTCATAGTCCACAAGCTGACGCTTGATCCACGCATAGCGCCGGTCTATCTTGTCGAGCCACGCCACCTGTACTCAGGACAAACAACAGAACAGACCGTAAGTGTGATGGTATAGCACAATTTCAGCATGTACAGGACGCACAAGGTCACACTTACGTCCTGGTTTTCTTGGAAGAGCACTAGGTATTCTGAAAGGTGCTGCCTGATGAACTTTTTGATGATCTCCTGCTTAATTCGAGGATCCAGGACATTTGCCACCAAGCAGGCATCTCTGAGAACAATGCTAGGACCTCCAGATTTCTGTAAATATCAAACTAAATGCGTCACAGGAATGATACAGAGACTGGCTATGCACTAATACTGAGAGGTGATTATTTATAATCTTTTCATCAGAGCACTGCATCTGTACCTTTGACCCCTGGGCAGGAAAAGTCTCTTCGAAGTCGGCCAGTATCTGCGTGCCAAGCTCGCTCTGTGCAGCTTTAACTCTGAGGAGGAGCAAAACAGATGGGTGAGTGTTTACAAGTCTCCTGGTGGTCTTAGGATTCCCTGGTGTCTAATGAGTTTTAAAAGCAATAAATTCATGATACCAATATGTTAGAATCTAGAGCAATACAAGTGAAATTTTACAATACTTCACACTAATTCTGTTAGAACAAATATAAATATACTCCGTAGTAGCTAACATATATACTACTTAAAGTGTGAGTGACGTGACATGTGGCCAAGGATGGTGACCCATACTCGGAATTAGTGCTCTGCATTTACCCATCGATAGTGCACACACACAGCAGTGAACACACACACCGTGAACATAAACCCGGAACAGTGGGCAGCCATTTATGCTGCGGCGCCCGGGGAGCAGTTGGGGGTTCAGTGCCTTGCTCAAGGGCACCTCAGTCGTGGTATTGAAGGTGGGAGAGAGCGCTGTACATTCCCCCCCCCCACCTACAATTCCTGCCGGTACGAGACTCGAACCCACAAACTTTGGGTTATGAGTCCGACTCTCTAACTATTAGGCCACGACTTCCCTTGAAGATACTACTGAACACACTAATTGAATTAAAAAGTAAAAACTTTTTTTTTTTTAAACTCACAAAAGTTTAGTTAAAAGTTTAACAATGAAATTTAGAAATGAAGATTAAGAGCAGTGAGTGGAATCAATAAAGGGCAGGATTCTCCTTTTCTTGTAAATCTTGTTCGATTAATATCAATGACAATGGCATGTCTACTACATATAAACTGTAAGGCCTAATGCATTGATCCCATATTTTGAGAAACATTTTGTTTTGCATGTTTACTTTCATAAACCCACTGTTACTTTGCTACTTTGTCAAGACAGGCATTTTGACCTTGTGTAGTCACGTCACTACAAAGCTTTCCTTGCAGAGCATGCAAACAAATGCCACCAATACTGTATAAAGACTGGTATATTCACTACATTTAACTTTGAAACTAAATACCAGTACTTTTTACATCCCTAGTCATGGTCTATCCGTGTCTCAGTCTCTATTAGGGCAAAGTGAACAGCTAGTACTTAGATCCCTCTAAATGATGGCAGCTCTTAGAACAACTAGCACTGGGGAAATAAATGGAACAGAGACAGAAATATCAGCTACTTGTAAGAAAACAGATGTAAATTCAAATTGTATTAACTAACAAGGCCAAACTGTACTTTGGACCAAAGTCTCAGAAATCTAAGAGGCAGTGTAAAGTAAACCCAATCCCATCAAAAGGGTTTGGATGAACCACGACTTGATGATTAGAAGATGCTCTTTTCATTTCTGGATTATTTGCTGGCGCAAGCAGACTCAACACAAGTGTCATCCAAAATAAACAACAAAGATAATCAGAGGGAGAGTGAGCGAAAGAGAGAGATGGAGACACATGTGTTTGCCAGTCAGACACCAGTCTTCAACGTGGCACACGGCTGCCAATTTGCTCTCTCACCAACTCCATTAAGACCTCAACACTGTCTGAACCGCAACGCATCCCTCAGCTGCCGCCCCTGATCAAACATCTCTGCCACACCTCAAAACCAACCAGACATCTCCATTTAGGGACAGTCGGGCTCAGAATGAAAGCATCTCAGTTTCTCTATATTTGGCATGAACTAATATTAAGCATCACAAAAATCCAATTAGACTTCGAAAGAATTTCCTCAAGACTTTTTTGTCCTCATAATATGTGGTAAGCTTGTGTAGTTCAAAACAACAGCGCTAAAATCAGTCCATCTGATCACCAAAGGGGGGCTAATATTATTTACATTGTGAATTCCTAAGCACAGTCCCCACCCTCATCAAATATAATCTCTTTCTACACCACAAAAGAAACAGACGAGAAAAAGCCGAGAGTCACGGAGCGGTCAGAAACCACTGATGTACTTTGGCAAACTTAAATGCTGTTTTAACAAAACACTGGATTCGCTTGATGTACAAATGCATGCTCAACCAAACAAACTCTCATCATCACTCAAGGATGGCGTTTAACATATGAGGTCCGTCTGTGAAAGGTCTTATGAACCAATGGGGTAAACTTGACTACAGGGGCACTGAAAAGGAAGTGCAGATACATGCTTTTCCAGAGAAACATTTAGAACCTGGAACAATCAGGGGAATTGTTTTTCCACATCAAACACCCCCTTCCTTGCCATCTGCTAATGAAACAACAGCTTTATCAGAGCATCCAACATAAACAAGCAACGTGGAGCACAGAATCATAGGGACCGGAGACCTGTTTATTTCCTAACAAAAGGCCCAGTCTCTGAGTCTGCAGGGGACAGGGACTGCACCACCCAAACCAGAGAGAGCACCTCCTCTGGGAAAGACTCAAAACAAAGAGCTGGGGGGAAAGGCCAAAGTGGAAAAAAAAAAAAACGTAAACAATGAGCCACTGTGATGCAGATTTCCTTCCTGTGCTGCATCACCTTGGGGGAAGTCGTGGCCTAATGGTTAGAGAGTCGGACTTGTAACCCAAAGGTTGCGGGTTCAAGTCTCGTACCGGCAGGGATTGTGGGTGGGGGGAGTGAATGTACAGCGCTCTCTCCCACCTTCAATACCACGACTGAGGTGCCCTTGAGCAAGGCACCGAACCCCCAACTGCTCCCCGGGCGCCGCAGCATAAATGGCTGCCCACTGCTCCGGGTGTGTGTTCACAGTGTGTGTGTGTGTGTGTGTGTTCACTGCTGTGTGTGCACTTAGGATGGGATAAATGCAGAGCACTAATTCCTAGTATGGGTCACCATACTTGGCCACATGTAATGTCACTTTTTTGTCACTAAACAGTAAACAAACAGGATCTACAGACTCACAGCACCATGATTTAGTCAAATAAACAGTGTGTGAGTGAGGCTTGCGCACTTACCTTTCTGAGAGCTGACGTATCTGGGGGATGCCCATGTACTTCTGGAAGTGCTCGAGCACGTTGACTACACCCTGAAGGAGATTGGCCACCTCCCCATATTGCCTCTTTCGAGTCATAGCTCTGCAAAGGCACAATTAGACAAGCTTTTAGCACACTGTTAGGACTGAGCAAATGGACTAAACATGGGAGAAGGTATTTTGCATAAACATACTCAAGAGAGTCCACACCGCCAGCCAGCATGTGCAGGTGATTGAGGGTGGTTATAGAAGTGGTCAGGTGACGCTTTGCGTGGTCCAGCTGCTTGATATCCCGTGTTATCTCTTTCACCTGAAGCACATTTTTAGATACATTACAGATGCACAGATATTGACATTTTGGCTGATAATTATTATATTATGATTGTATTTGTTATATGATTAAATATATTATTATTATTATATGATTAAATATATTATACGGTACCAATCAAAAGTTTGGGGTCGGTAAGGTTTTAAATTTTTACAAAAGAAGTCTCTCATGCTAACCAAGGTTGCAATTATTTGATCAAAACTAGTACAAACAGCAATATTATGAAATATTGTTCAAATTTAAAATCACCGCTTTATATTTTACTATATTTTAAAATGTAATTTATTCCTGTGATGTCAAAGCTGAATTTTCAACAGCCATTACTCCAGTCTTGAGTCACTTCATTCTTCAGAAATATGCTGATTTGGTGCTCAAGAAACATTTCTTATAATTACTATCAATGTTGAAAACAGTTGTGTTGATATTTTGTGCTGATATTTTAGGATTCTATGATGAATAGAAGGTTCAAAAGAACAGCAATCGTTTGAAACAGAAATCTTTTGAAACATTTAAATCTATTTATCCTCTTTTTTGATCAATTTAATGCATCCTTGTTTAATAAAAGTATTAATTTATAAATTTTTTAAATCCTACAACCCCCACATTTTTGAACAAAATATTATTATATAAGTAGTATTTCATTATAAATTACCAATAAATTGCCGATATTAATAATTCTATACGACTCGGTCTAAACAAATTAAATAAAAAATAAATTAAACACTAAAAAAATCATTTTAAATCATTTCAACCATTTTAAATGTTACAAATTAATTTAGGCATCACAGTAACATACAGTGCAAAAATGGACGTTCATTTTGAGATTTGCTAATAATTACATTTGTTGATTACATATTATATATGTTGGCAAAGGTAATCCCAAAGTAAAACTAGAGGAAATAAACATGCACGTCAATTACTATTAATTCAATATTAAAACCTATTTATTATCCATATCTTTTTCAATACTAAAATCATTTTAATATCAGCCAATAACTTATATGGTTCCAACAGATCATGCATTCCTTTATATCGCTTCACCATATTGAGGACACAGGGACAGAGCTTTGCTATTGTTCTCCTGCCTTCCTCCCTTTGCCCTTCCTCTTATCTGCACTGCATTACTTTCACAGATGGCCAGAAATGCTGTTCATTTAACTTTCTATTCAAAGAATCCTGAAAAAACAAGGTTTCCACAAAAATATGAAGCAGCACAACTGCTTTCAACATGATAACATATCAGATCACATATTAGAATGATTTCTGAAGTATCATGCGACACTGAAGAGTAATGGCTGTTGAAAATTCTATTTTATATTATATTCTATTTTTAATATATTACAATAGAAAACCATTTTAAATTGTAATATTTCACAATATTACTGTAATTCTGTATTTTGATCAAATGATGCAGCCTCGGTGTGGATAAGAGACTTTTCAAAAACATTTTAAAAAAATCTTGCACACCCCAACTTTTGATGTGATGTGTTTGTTGTTGCGGTCATCGTGTTTTTTTTACATTATCCATTTATTAAAGTCTACTTCAATACTCCACTCTGTTGTTGTAATGTGTGCAATAGAGGGTTAAAACCCAGGCATTAAATCAATAAAACAAGTGTTACGTTGATTTATTCTATGCAATGTCCAAAAAAAAAAAAAAACAATGCCCAAGATGACTAAAACAACTCCAAAGGGACAGACAGGAATCGGACTATAACGACTGATAGAAAAACACACACGCAGTAAACTTTCCATCCTGTGTTTAGATTAAATCCTAGGTCTTCTTGTCTTCTAAGAAGTTTCTTAAAATGTAGCGAGTTTATGATTAAAACAAGAAACCCAAGTAAAAGTATCTTGATTTAGGAATGTTTAGATATCTGTATTGAACAAAAAAAAAGACAAACATACCGAGGAAGATAGTCTCATAGTTTGTAGTGCATGCATCATTTAATGCAATGACTTTATGAATTTAAGAAGTTCTTTTCTGATTTAAGACCTGCGAAAACCCTGCTAAATGAAAATGGAAAATATAAAAATAAAACTAATTCAAAATATTAAATTAAATACAATAGCATCTCAATGATACTAAAACGACACTGATCCACACAGCAAGCATACAATAACAATACCAGAGAGGAGTTTGGGTCTTTAAACAGGGTGAACATCTGTGTCGTGAGTCGTGACTGTCTCAGATACTATTTATCAGGCCCTCAGCTTCATCCAAACTTCAAAGAGCCCCGACTGAGTCTCAAATAAGGCACCCAATAACCAGTTATAACTTTAGCATTTTCTATACCACAGGGGAGTACGTGAAAATACTCGCTCAAGACAAGCACATCCGTCCGCCTCCTCCACACAGCTAGAAATGTCATCAAGCAGACCCCTGGGATCGTTATTACACAATTCTGTGCATGCTCTCCAACGTTGATGATTTAGTCACAGTCTTTTCCCTCACTGTACTGTAAACATTACTCAGGAAGCTTCCATCAGACAGATCTGTTTATTAACTAATGCATTTCAGAGTACTTCTACTTAGGACCAATAGTCACTTAAACTATATAACTATATATTAAGCCAGAACTCTTTTAGAGATAAAACTGTTGACCATTTCAAAGGTTTTCAATATTTCTAGACAATCAGCAAGCCACTGGATCATGGGTATAAACATAATAAGCTAAATTTTCTTAGTAGCATTTTTTTATACTGTCTTTCATTAAGTAAACAGACTAACATGAGTCCATTTTACGATTCTTACTTTTTTTTCATCTTCTACACGTACTCCCTTGTTGAAAACTCTGGATATGTCAAGGTGTCTCCTGTTTTGACACCTGCCTTCAAATTACAAGCTAGCAATGACTAATTTGCGTTTGCTGGTCTGTAGTTTTAAAACTGAAGTCAGTTTTGACAACAGCTATCTACGTAAACTAATACGTAGCATGATAAATAAACAAGACATAAGTAAAACTGTGAGCATTAATGGAGATGTTTCAAACGGGCTATTAGCATCTCAGGAGAAGGCAACAGCTGACAGCTTGTGTGCTCACTGCTCTCTCTGAAACTGCAATAAGAACAAACACAACGACAGTTCATCTGAGTTACCTGCTCAATGGCCAGCTGCACTTCTGGAGTAAGGTGTAATATGGCCTCCAAATCTTCCACAAACTCTAATTCATCGTCCTCCATCATTGTGAACAGTAAACAGTCGTTTTATTTCCCTGTGCTGACGTGAATACTTCTTTACTGGTGTCATGCGCAGGAAAAATATGATTCATTAGCGCCATCTGTGGCGCTGGAGGCTCAACACGAACCACTGGTGATTTTGGCTAATCATTTTCACTTTTGATAACATTTATAAAAGTAGTGTTTAACTATTTTCATGATATTGGTCTGTGGCGAATCACCTGAATCTCACGTAACGCTGTAATATTAGATCATATTTTAGAAAAGTGTGATACATTTCAGATTTCTGAAATGGAAACTGGGGGCATTTCCTTGTTCATTCATTCATCAGTCTGAGATGGCAGGAGAAGCAGATTTATCATAAAATAGTGAGGATCAAAACTCCACAAAAAGAGAGCAAAATTAGTGCACAGAAGGATCTGATTCTCAAACGAATGTCTCTAATGAGCCCGTGCTTTTTTATTAATGAAAAGCAAACAGCATATACTGTACATTTGAGTACAATTGAACAGGTTTAAAATGACTACTGACTACTGATTTCTCTCTGGCACCCTAGCTTAAAGTTCAAGATTAGCTCACTGTGAATTCAAGATCCCTGCTGATGTGTACTTTGTTTCTTAAACTGTAAATGATTGATCTTATTACTCACTGAGATTCTGTCTCTAAGCTCTCAGACATGAAAGAGTCCACAGAGGAGACACAAGATGCCTCAGGAGCAGGACACTCTCTGCTATAAAATAAGAGAAGGACTGACTAAATGGAGGGATATTTTCACTTGGTGAGTGGATGCAAATGTCCATACAGTGGTTTCTGTCAGTTTCAGACCACATTGAGAATCTGTTGTCTTTTTTCTTTGCTCTTTGGATCTGAAGCTGTATAACATGATAGTCAGGGTTCAGTGTTTTAGTATTATTTATGTACTATTGTAGTAATTATTAATATTTTGAATTAGCATTCTTTTTTTTTACACTTCTTTGTTGTTATATGTTTTTTTTTATCTACTTCGTTGTAATTTTAATTTATTTCAGTAATTTTAGAAATCCAACTTAGACCTATTTCAGTTAATTGCCATTTAAGTGTTTTTTTTTTTAAGTTTGGGTTTTTATCTAATATTTATATTTTATTTTATTTCAGCTTTATTTCAATTACTGAACAGGAAATGGACTATTCTTAATAGTTTTAGTTAACAACAGCAACACTGTCAGGTTTTATTTTTCAGTGAACCTTTTGCTTATTGTTATGCCGTTAACATAATTTGTAATGAGAAATGTTAACATTAAATATATCAAATTAAATGATTATTATTTAAAAAAAATTTATAATGTATATTTTAAACACCATATATTTTATTAGCAGAGAGAGGACTTTAGCACTTTATGAATAGTGCATACCAGTATAAAAACCCTCATCAATTGGTGTACAGTTATTCCAGCCAATGTTCATTGCAGGCAACTGTTTAAAACTCTGCTGATGGGACAAGGCCTCTCAGCACTGATCTGTGGGACTGCTGTAACATCTCAGTATCTGGCGTCCGTTTACTATCTGAATACACCTATGCTGCAGAGCTTCATTAATTACACCCTTCTGGGCATCACTTACACTATTGCACTGATCTTCAGACGAGGTATTCATGTGTTCATTCTTGTCCAATCATTAATGTTTTTCAATGATCTGCTACTGGTATCCATTTTTTTGGCATGTAATATTAAGGATACCTTTCTTTTAATATAGGTGATGGCAATATTTTGCAGATATTAAAGACAAAATGGTGGAAGTATCTAT